CAATTTATCTATAATATCCTGTATATCTTTTATTATTATAGATCTTACTGTTCTCTTAGCAAAATTTTTCATCATGTTTTCTTTAAAGCATTTTAATATTTTTTGGAATTCATTTAATTGTTCTTGATATTCAATCTTATCAAATTCATTTTCAAATTCTATTTCTTTTTGTTTTTTCATAATTTTCTTAATCTTATATGGTCATCTTTTAGATTTGGATTTTTTATAAGTTTTATTGATCATCCTTATGATAATAATCTTTTATAGGTCTTGATTGTATTCTTTTCATATAATGGTGACTTGGATGCAATTATCATTTTCATGGGTATTTTAGATAGTTTCAAAGTTTAGAATAATCAAAGGCTATTTTCGAAAAGCTATCCTTGAATTTTGGGTATTTTCAATTATTTCCCCATAAAATCAAGCAACCCGTATGAGTTCTCACAGTCTCTATGTTATGCGAACTTCGTGTGATTTCTTGCCCTTTTTGCCTTTGATGTCATGAATGATGTAATATTGCATTTCAAATTTTCAGTTGACTCTCAACCCTGTCAAGTCGCCTTTGGCCTCCCATCGAGATTTTGAGTTTTAATTCAAAAGTTTAGGCTATTTGATTTGTATTTCAGTTTCCGATTTTGAGTTTTAAATTCATTTTCGATTTTATGTTTTGAGAGTCTATTTTTAAATTGTTAAAAAAAGATTATTTGATTTATCATTTTCAAAAATTATTTCTCAAAATAGAAAATTAGAAAACACATTTAGTTTAAAATTTTAAAAACTTATTTTATGACATTTTATTCTATTAAATTTGATTGTTTAATAAAAATATAATAATTTTATGTTAATATATTATCAAATAATATATACATTTTAAAGTTTGTAAATGTAACAATATTTTTCTCATCACAAAAGTAATATAAAAATAAATAATAATTTGAGAACAAAATATATGAAATAAAAATAAAAACTAATGACGTGGATTGAGAATATTTTTATGTAAATAATCATTACGAGCTTGAGCTGTTTTTTTTTAATTTTATTTTTCTAAAAAAAGTATAGATTTTTTTCCAGATTTTTTTATATATTTTTTAAAATTTTATATTTTTTAGAATTTTAGCATTTGTAAAAAAAATTAGAATTTTTTAAAAATTTTATTTATTTATTAGAATTTATCAATTTAATTTTTTTATTTGTTAGAATTTATATTTAGGTTCTATTTGATTGCAACGGATTCCATAGAAAATGTCACATCCGAATAAAATGAATTTTACTTTAACCGTTTTATTGCAACGTGGAAATGAAAATCGAATTTCAAGGTAAAACCATTTAAAACTACATTTTCTTTGGTGTATTATTATTTTCCAACAAATTTGGAATTGTAATTCTTTTCAACCATTACCTATCAAACATACCCTTATATTTTTATAAGTTTTTTAACATTAAATTTTATTTAAACGCTTGTTTTTCATATTGAATTTTCACTTAAAATATTCAAGACGTCAAAAATTGTTTCAATTTTTATGTTATAAGTTTAATCTTGCTTTAAAAAATGCATTTTTTAGAAATATCAGACCAAATACATTTTCAATATTTTGCAAAATTGAAAATTGAAAACATCTTTTAGAAAAGCAACCAAACACACCATTAACATTTAAGAAGAATAGTACAATTCATTCATAAAATTTCCATCCGTCCAAATGAACTAAGGCACACACTTCTATTATGATGAAATGATTATACATGAATTATGACTTGGAATATACAGAAGTCAATATAATACGCCAGCTACCACTTTGTACTCGTTCAAATATTACTGGTTAGATTGATTCCAAAGTCCAGTGACGGAAGAAGGTGGGATCAGTGGAGTCCTTGTGAGCTAAACTTTTGAAAAAAAAATAAAAAATTACGACATTTCTATTTTACATGTTATTTATAATACTATAAAATTTTTGTTTGATATATATATTTTTAATTTAATTGAGCTTCCATTGAATCCAAGTCCTGTCTTCTCCACGCTAAATTCGCACCGTAAATTTGTTGCTCGTTTCGTCGACATCTTTTACGAAAATTTGTAATGTATTTGCATGCAATAATGCGTATTAAATCCAAATTAACTAGTTGAAATAATTTTCTCAAATTTTTAATGTATACAACAATGATTTAATTGTTATGTTGAGCTTTTGAAAAGCCTACATCACGTGGAGTATCTATAAGAGTCAAATTTTGGAGTTATGGATAAAGTAGAGCATAAAAACCTGCGGCCAAAATCAACTAAGAAATAAATTCTTCCCAGTTCCCATCATCGTTGCTCGAGCGCTGGCATAGCGCCGCGAGATGCCGCTCTGCACAACCGCGAATCCAGCACCCGGTGGGCTCCGACAACTGCCATTGCTGGATTCGTCGGCATTAATTTTTTTTTTTTTGTCAATGTATATATGTTTTTGTTATATATATTTGTAATTTCATTTGTTTTCAGACAATTCTAATAGGTCCAATTAGTTGGATCGCCTATCCAGTGGAGGTCTTGAGTTTGACTCTCCACAAGATCAATCATTTACGTTGTGTTTTATTATTTTTCACTATTATAAAAAGATAAAAAGGAAAATAATTTCCAACTTTTCCAAAATGTGGTGTTTGATTGCACAAATTTGGCCAAGAAAATTTTTCTCTCCCCCCTCCCCACGCGCCCCTTTTCCTTGGTGGTAAAGCATTTTCCAGTCTGACGTCCATTTTTTTTTTGGTAATGAAAACAAATTTCATAACCAGTTGTAAAAAAAAAAAAATTCACTTTAATGGACAGTTTTCATGTAAAACAAAGCCAAACGAACACTAAACTTTGATGAAAAAATTGATTTTTTAGGAAATTTTTATTTTTATTTTTTGGCAATGGAAACAAATTTTATAACAAATTGTGGAAATAATTATCACTTTAATGAACAATTTCCATATAAAACAAATATAAAACGAACACAAAATTTAAAAATTTCGCGGGTGGAAAATTATAACAATCAAACACACTTAATTAACAATTTCCTGCAAAATATTTTCTAGGCAATTACTTTCCCTAAAATTCATTTTTTTTCATCAATTTTCCACCGTTGCAATCAAATAGACCCTTAGCTCAATTGGTTAGAGCACTTGTCTTCTAATTGTACGTTTTGAGTACGACTCCCTACAAGATCATTCCTTCATGTTTTAACTTAATATTTTTCACCATTATAAAAAGATTAGTTATCAGAAATAGTGCAACAATAGAGATTCAAACTTGCGGTCTTCTTTGAAAGCTTGACTACATTTAGTTGATGTTAAGATATGGTGTAACAAAAATATATGGGAAATGCTAGTGGTACATTGTAGGTAACATAAAAGATAACATAATGTGAGTGAGGTGGGTCATTGAAGGTAACATAAAAGATAACATAATGTGAGTGAGGTGGGTCGCATGCTACAGTATCGTGGGCCCCCACCCCCATTCACATTATGTCATCCTTTATGTCAACTCCAATGTACAAGTAGATTAATCCAAAATATATATGTTCAATTTCGGAAAAGTAATTGATAAATTATCTCTTTGTTTTTTTTAATATATATATATAAACTAAAATTCGACCTTTTAATGACTCAGAGGTTAAATCACTAACTAAATGACCTGATAATTTGTCCAAATCAACTATTGGATTGGATACGATAGCTATGTTTTAAAGAGTGAAAGAATAACGAAAAGAAAATTAAATTCACAGTTCACATTTATTTAACCCAAAAATTTATTTGTTTTCAGTATAGACCATTTATTTGACAAAAAAATTTAACAATTCGGATAAGCATTGACACCAATTTTTCTTCACACATTTAACGACAAAATTTTTGTCATCTTTTAAACTATGAAATAAATTTTTTTTTTTTTTTTACTAGACTGAAATTATTAACAAATTGAACAAAAAAGTAAGTAATGTGAAGAATTTTTCATATTTGAAATTCTTACTCGATAAATATTATTACATTGATAGATAACATACATCTACACTTTCAGTCCGAACTACGATACAATTAATTTCAATTTATGGTATTGATTTTCATTGTCACTATCAACGATCGTCCTTGCTCACTCAAAATCCTAGATTTCCCAATGGCTACACTGCTCGAGCGGCAAGGGGCGCCAACTCCCTGCTCTATTTTTTTCCCTCGATGCTCGAGCCCAACTAGCGAAAAAGTGCCGACTTTTTCTCCACCTTATTATCTTTCATACCAAAAGTCTCTATTCCAATTAAATTCTCAATTCATGATGAAATTTGATCCCTTATCTATCGGTACTTCAAACCAAAATTACATAATAAGCTTCCTCCATGAATCAAACTTGAAAATCACATGTAATTTGAGTCACAACATTACAATTTTAGTCATTGTTTGATACTCATTTTTTTTAAAATACATTTTTTTATCTCTTCTTTTTAACTACACATTTTTTATAAAATAATATTACATGCTAATTCAAAATTTCCTTATTTTCTAGTCACACATTCTCCATCAATTTACTATTTCAAAATACATTCTTACTATAAAAATGAAATACAAACAGGCACCTAATGATTGATTTTGAATTCAACGCAATCCTTAAAAGTCAACTGCATAAGTTTATAAACATTCTGGGTACCCTAGTTCGACTGTAACATCTAACGGTGATTAACGTAATGACGTAAAAATGTTCATCTACAGTATACTCAGTTGAAAAAAGAAAATTTTTTTATTAGTTCATATTGGATCATTGAAACTGAGGAAGAATCCAATCAAAAAAGTTTTTGCTGCTGAATAGAAAATTCAAATAAAACGAGAGTGAATGATAAAACAAGCACAGCCATACAAGAGAATGTTTCAGTATCAATCAATCATTTTGAAATGTCTGCATAGTTTGACTTCCCATTAGTATATTCCGTCACAAGAATTGGCTTCTCCATTGTTACACTACACAAACAGTTGGCAGAGAGAAATTGTAGCAAATATCCATGGCTTCTTCTCTCACAAACTGCCCACCATTCGAATTCTCAGCAAAATATTATGATTCATCTGCAGGTGGAAGCAATTGCGTGAGGCAAAGCAGTTTCTTTGGAGGGCAACCAGTGCTCAATCAAGGTGTTGGGTATTCTGTGATTCTTGGATTTGGAGCATTCTTTGCAGTTTTTACCTCTTTCCTGGTATTTTTTTCCCTATCCCATATCTAAATTAGAAGTTTTAAAATTTGGGTCTGGTTAAATTAACTTATTGCATTACTGAACTTATTAATCATGAAGAGTTTCAAACGTCATATTCTATTAGTATTTGATGATTCCCTGATGAATTTGTGTTTACTATTCAGTTTTACTTCTTTAATTTTGAAGAAGATACTCAGGAAAAGTGAAACCCCTTGTGTATTGAGTAAAAGTCTCTTATGGAATCACGAAGTTTACAAAAAAGATTTTTCCGCTTTCTAACAATTTAACTTTTAGATGGGGTCATTGAACAATACCAGACAAAGGTCTAGTGTTCCAGTTTCATCATCACCTATTTATAAAATTGTGGTGAAACTCAAGACGATTTGCACATAAAGGGATGTGTTGAAGACAAATTTGATCATCTAACAGTTTAAGCTTTTATTACTGGGGTTCATCGATTGGAGTCGAGTATGTTGCCCGCAAAATGTTTTTCCCATTCTCCCACACTAGTTTTGAGGACTTGGGGGATTTTGAACCTGATGATCGTGCACTTACCTATTTATACTTGGTACCTACTTGGAATGGGACTAACCTCTAGAACCTGAACTCCTAAATTTTACCATTTATTGCTGATGGAATCTCCAGTGATTTACAGTTTGTGCTCTAAACATGTCTAGGTATGGCTGGAAAAGCGATATGTTGGTTCCCGCCACACTTCAGAATGGTTTAATACAGCGGGCAGAAATGTTAAAACAGGACTCATTGCTAGTGTGATTGTGTCTCAGGTGCTATGCTCATATTTCTTTCAACCTTGACTTGAAAATGTTTTGTACATTACTTACAGTTTCAAACATTTGAGTTTTACAGTGGACGTGGGCTGCCACAATTTTACAAAGTTCAAATGTTGCCTGGGAATATGGAATCAGTGGTCCTTTCTGGTATGCAAGTGGAGCTACAATCCAGGCATGTCTAAGAGCAGTTTTCCTCTCTAAATTTGCCGTTCTAATCTTAAATCATAGTGATTAGTTTTACAAATTCTGATGAATAGGTACTCTTGTTTGGTGTAATGGCGATCGAGATCAAAAGAAAAGCTCCTCATGCTCATACTGTTTGCGAAATTGTGAAAGCAAGGTTGGTTATTTTCTAATGAAATCTCAAGTGTTCATGTATTTCCTCTTAAATTAAAATCTAAAGCCTCTCTTTTTCGTCAGATGGGGAACTGCAGCTCATATCGTCTTTCTTACTTTCTGCTTCATGACAAATATTATTGTAACGGCTATGCTGCTTCTTGGTGGATCCGCTGTGGTGAATGCACTCACTGGAGTGAATATTTATGCTGCAAGTTTCCTTATACCTTTAGGGGTAATTGTCTACACACTAGCAGGAGGGCTAAAAGCCACCTTCTTGGCAAGTTACATACATTCTGTAATAGGTGCATAAGATTGATCCTTCTTTCGTTCATATATTTGTAAAAATCTTCTTATTTTGTCTCTAAACCTTTTACTCATGTTTTCTTTTTTAAATTACAGTGCACGTGGTTTTAGTCATCTTCGTGTACTTAGTTTACGTTGCAAGCAGTGAGCTTGGCAGCCCAAGCATTGTATATAGACGCTTGCTTGAGGTCTCGAGCAAGTCTCGTAGTTGTATAGAGCCAATTTCTCATGTTGGGCAATCGTGTGGTCCGGTTAGTGGAAACTACAAAGGATCATACATAACAATGCTGAGTTCGGGAGGTCTGATCTTCGGGATTATCAATATTGTTGGCAATTTCGGTACAGTGTTCGTAGACAATGTATGTTTATGCCGGTTTATTTACAATTTCAGTTTTTCATTATTATTATGAAATGCCATTTTGACCATGGATAGATTGGAACTACAGGGATATTGGGTAAGTGCCATTGCTGCAAGACCATCATCAACACATAAGGGTTATCTGTTGGGTGGATTGGTATGGTTTGCAGTGCCATTTTCTTTGGCAACATCACTTGGTCTTGGAGCACTAGCCCTTGATCTACCGATAACCGCGAGTGAAGCGAGCCACGGACTTGTTCCTCCTGCCACAGCTATTGCTTTGATGGGAAAAGGAGGATCTGTTCTTCTCCTCACTATGCTTTTTATGTAAGCTAAATTTGATATTCCTGAAAATTCTATACATTTTTTTTTTCACCCGGCTTTCTAAAACGATTTACATATGATAATCAGGGCCGTAACATCTGCGGGTTCTTCTGAGCTGATTGCTGTTTCCTCACTATGTACATATGACATATACCGTACATATATAAATCCAGAAGCAAGTGGAAAACAAATTCTGAAAGTGTCAAGGGCTGTTGTATTGGCTTTCGGATGCTTCATGGGAATTTTAGCTGTGATCTTGAACAAGGCAGGAGTTTCCCTTGGTTGGATGTATTTAGCTATGGGAGTTTTCATTGGCTCGGCAGTTATTCCCATAGCCTTTATGCTTCTATGGAGAAAAGCAAATGCACTTGGCGCCATTCTTGGGACGATTATCGGTTGCTTTCTTGGAATCATTACATGGTTGACGGTTACTAAAGTTGAGTATGGGAGGGTAAATCTCGATACAACTGGAAGAAATGCACCAATGCTTGCTGGAAACCTAGTTTCTATACTCACTGGAGGAGCTGTTCATGCAGTATGCAGTTTTCTGTGGCCTCAAAATTACGACTGGGAAACAACTAAACAGATAACCGTAGTAGAGAAAGAAAAGACCGAATTACCAGCTGAAGAGTTCAGAGAAGAAAAGCTGATCAGAGCAAAGGCATGGATTGTCAAATGGGGTGTTGGTTTTACTATTGTTATTGTTATATTGTGGCCTCTTCTGACTCTTCCGGCAGGTAACTCGACATATGATCTATTCCACAATCTGCATTCAAGGTTAAAGAAGTTACGACTTTCGTTATAGTTTTTGCTTCTGATATGCTTCTGTGATGACAATGCAGGACAATTTAATAAGGGATACTTCACATTATGGGCAGTAATAGCAATTGCATGGGGTACGGTGGCTTCAGCAGTAATTACAGCTTTACCTCTAATGGAAAGCTGGGGTACAATCCAAAGTATACTCATTGGCATGTTTACAAATGACAGACTTATGGAAAAGATTGAAGAACTGAATTTCAAGTTAGGGACTATTATGTCTGCAATTCCTGAAGCAGAGAGAATTTACTTACTTGAAGTAGAGAAGGCGAAGAAGAAAGAAGCATCAGAAATTGAAGTTCAAATTCTTCCTGCATAAAATAAAAGAATTTTATGGATAATTGTTTATAACAAATGCTTGAAAAAGTAATTTTCAACCACAAAGAAACTTTGCCAATTGAAAAAAAAAAAAACCCATCCTGCTTTGAGAAGCTGCTGTTATTATCGATTTAGATAGTGGATGTCGCTTCATCTGCAGTAATGAAGCAAGGAAAGAGGTGCGTGTAAGTCGGGCTGCTTAATTAATGTACGCAACCAATAGTCTAGAAATTGGTTCTTTGTTCCAATATATGGCTGTGTGGACTGTGGAATGGTGTTCAACCAGAAGCTTTGTTGTGAAGCATTTCTCAAATCATAATGTATACACACTTTTGTTATTGGAGAGTTCATATTTTAATACAATTCATGTCAGGGTAGAGATGTAAAGATGGTTGGACTCCCAAAGACGTTTGCTAGGGGCTCCGGTGTAATCTATTTTATACCGCTAGCGAGAGATATAGATTAGAGGTATCAAAATGGGTGGTTGGACAATCAAGCCCAAGACTGCCCGTTATTTTAACAGGCCAACTCATGAATCAACCCAAATCGAGATGGATTGATTTTGATTCGATTTTTAATGGAATGGATTGTCATGGGCTTTAGCCACCCGCCCATTTTGAAACCACTAGTACCGATGCTTTCAAGAGTTTAGTTCATTAAGAAAAGATCGAACCCTGTCGACTAGCACTATCGGTATACACACACGAATTAATAGTTAATACTTGAATAATTCATACACAAATTCCTTAGAATGCTATTTGTATTTTAGATTATTTGGGGATGCTCAGAATTTCTGATACTAATATAATATTTCATAAATTCTTCTAAAGTCTCAATTTGAACTTAATAAGTCCTAATTTCAACATTTTCGTCCTCGAAGTTTCGATTTTCTCGCACTTTTTGCATTTATATTAATTTTTTTTAAATTTTTTATTATAACAAATGGACGAAAGTGTAATTGGTTGGGTAAGAATTTTTAATTCACATTTTACAACTTCTAGTACACACAATTTAAGGAACTTACAAGTTGGACTGAACTGCAGCAAAGTTAAATTAATTATTTGTTCCAATAAATAAAAAATGAGGAAATTATGCCAAACATCCCCAACCTTTAGAGTCATTTGCACTTTCTTCCCCAACCAATTTTTATGAACGAAGGAGTCCTAACCTTTAGAAAATATGCGATATTCATTGAAACGGATGGATTATGTCCAATTTTTCGTTAGTCAACCTAGTTGACCTGTATGTTCGAATATTAGAAAGGCAAAATTGACATTCCCTTATTTTAATTAAAATGTAAAATACAAAAAAAAAAATATATAAAAAGAATTATAAAAAAGAAGAAAATTATCATCTTCTTCTTACCCCCATAGAGTCGCCGCCACCACATCCACGAAATTTTCCATCCCTCCCAGTTAGCAGAAAATCAAATGAGGGAGAAATGGTTCTATGCAAACTGGGGATGTTTCTCCCTTTGGTTAACCAAAAACTATGAGGGGAGAAATACCCCCCGATATTGGTGGTGGAGAATCGAGGGAGGAGAAATCCCCCCTGGGTCGATTTAGATGTTGGGGTTGGGGGTCCATTGGATCGTTGTGATTACGAGGGGATCTCGTTGGACAAATGCTACCTATTTTCGAGAAGTTGGAGATCTCGTTGTCCAAAAAATTGATTGGGCACTAAAGTACAAATGACCATAGCGAACCTTGCCTAAATCATCCATTAAAAATTTGTAAGACATTCAAATGCAACAATTAAGGTTCCAAGATGTGACATGGTACAAAGGACCTGTTTAAGTCCTATTTTTTGTATCTGGAATGCATTTTAAAATAGTAGATTGATGTAGAATATATTATTTAAAAAATTTAGATTTACGTGTAATTTTATTTTATTGAAAATTGTGTAGTTGAAGAAAAAAAAAAGGTACTTTAAAAAACTTGGAGGTGAGACAAGGGCAAAATGGCATTATCCTAAACAAATATCTCTTGTCAACCTCAAAAAGGATGAAAGAAAGTAGAAAGCTGCAGATTCTTCTTACTACAAAAATTGAAAAGCAAAGCAATGATTCACTCCAAAAGTTCCTAATTTTTGTAAAAGAGAAACTGTAAGTCTATGTCTATACTTGTTCTTCTTCAACTCAGCACTCAATAAAATCAAATAAAAATTTTGGGCCAAAAATTTCATCGAAAACCTCAAAACAAACAAAAGTACTGTACACTGCACTGTCATGTTTAGCAGAATTACATTAAAAGTTTTAATATTATATTGCTGTAGTTAAAGCCATGTGGGGGGTTCTGTAGGTGGGGTGGGGTGGGGTGGGGTGGTCAGGTCTCAATAATATCCCAGCGGTGACCTGGCTACCTTTCATTTAAATGTTATCTACACAACATTATATTTGGATCGACTACATGAGTTTTTTATTATTTTATTTCGATACATAGTTAATATTAATCGAAAAATGACATTGGACGAACTAACGTTAATTTTGTGAAGTCGCCTTTAAATTTCATTACGAGAGTATTTCTAGTTCAACTATTTCCGAAAATTCTTTGATTTTCTTGGTTTGTTTTCTTGGCTTTGTATTCAATGCTCCAATGGCCAAACATAGCCAATATACCAACCTTGCATTCAATGTAATGACACCTGAAAAGGAAATGTTTCTTAATTTGAGTTCATCCAAGAGCAGATTTGAGAAAAAATTGATCTGGAGTAACTTTATCAAAAAACTCATTTACGAAAACAAAAAACAAAAACCCTGTCAAATATGCCCTAAATCTACTCATTGGACGATGCCAATAGGAAGTTTTTGCATGGTGTTGTGATCTTGATAATGTGAATTAGACACACTAAACAGTATTAAATAAAATAAAAAGGGTAAAATTATGTATATTTGAAGTCCGTGTTTGGTATAAATTAAAAATTGATTAAAATTTCAAGCGGAAAGGCTACATCTAGTACCGGACCGATGATTTGGACGATACGGCCAGGTTTTGTTTTTCAAGTGTGGAAACCCCAGAACCAGAAGTAGTAGGATTAATTCTCATAATAATAAACAAAATATGTCGAAATTTTTTTTTGCGTAAAGTCTTTAACTATAGATTTCATTATTTTTTATCAAATTTTACTAAAAAAATTAAATTTAAAGAGTATTTTACATGTGCCATTAAAATTGTGATCATTTTATATTTGGATCTGCAAAAACTGAACTACTTCTTGATGATCTGATCTGATTAAGAGTCTGCTAAATCATTAATGAAAGAAGACAGTTGAATAAACATATCTTTAAGAAAAGATTTTTTTTCTCTTCAATCCCTTGACTATTAAGTATCTTTCATTTCAATCCTTCATTTTCTATATTGTGTTTTGTGTGATTAAGTGTATCAACTCAAGTGTATTTAACTTTGATATTTATGCATTTCTTTGAAACGTAACATGTCGATAATAGAGGAGAATATAGAATTTAAAGCGCGTTCATTTCCTCCATTAATGCATTTCTCAAATTTTTAAAGAAAAAAATTGAACATTTCTCCTTTTTGTTTTATCCAAAATGTCTCCACAAATCGAGCAATTGGGCTTCTATATGTTTTAATAACGTTTTTCTTTTCCAAAAGTTACATCATTGGTTACAGTATACACCTCGTTGCAACTCCATCCTCATACTACTTTTTTTATTATCATTATCTCAAACTTTTTTGTTAATTCATTGCTCTTCATGGGACAAATTCAATCGTTGTAATCTTTAAAATGACATATTTTATTAGAAATACATGTATACCCTTATTTCCAGTTTAAATATATTTATTAAGCAAAGGAATACATTTAAACCCTCATTTTCAGTTTAAATATATCTATGAAGCAAAGAAAAACAACATTTCATATATAGTATTTATGGCTAGACTCGCAATGTCACAAAATTCTTGTGGTAGACTCTAATGACTTCTTTTCTACTGAGATACGCTAACTATCGTTCCCAAATCAAATTATGTGAATCGAAAGAGAAACCATATTCATACATCAGCTCACCTCGTAAAATGATGTAATTTTACAAAGCATCTACGTACAATTCATTCGAGTTAATCAATCAAGAAGTTTGCTTCCGCCCATTAAGGTAAGGTAAAAGGACAGCATAGGAGCATCCAGTTGGAAGTCTTTAAATTGTAGACTAAAGTTATGGTAAAGTCTATAAATCAAGGGTGAAGTTGTAATGAAGTCTATAGATCAGGGAGGTACAATTTTCCTAAAAGAAACAGGCGCACACACATACACAGATTTAACAAAGCAAATAAAAAGGGTTTCACTCGAAAATGGCCACGAAGATACCTAAAAATTGACGAAGTACACAACGCTAGAAAACAAAGGCCATACCAGTAAAAGCATATGCACCCCCCCCCCCCCCCCCCCCCCCCCCCCCCCCCCCCCCCNCCCCACTTCCACCACCCATCCCCAAAAAGGTTCCACAAAAGCACCCCAAAATCCACCCACAGACACACATAGTTCCCAAACAGAGACAAATTCTCAGAAAAATGGCTGCCCAACAAGAAGATAACCAAGATCAACAACAAAATGATTATCATTTTGAGAAGCTCTTGTCCTCGTACTTGGGCCTTAGTTTCACAATCTTTCTTGGGTTCTTACCCAAAAACTCCATTTCTTTATTCTCAACCCTCCATAGCAAGAACAAAGCTTTAACCTTTAAGCTTATGCAAGCAGAAGAGCAGCTAAAGCAGCTGCATTCGAGGAGAAAAGAGGACTCAAAGGCAAATGCAAGAGTTGTTGAAATCTTTGCAAGCCACAGGCATTCATGGCAGCAAGAAGAGAAGAGGCTGTTGCAGCAGATTGATGAGAGTAATGAGGAAATAGCTTATTTGAAGAGCAAAGCCGAGTATTTGGAGAAAATGGAGGCTGATTTGAAGGCCAACATTGAGGATTTGAAGAGGGAAATTGGTGAGAGAGATGAAATGCTCAACTTTATCAGCAGAAGTAACTGTGAAATGGAAAATAGTAGTGGGGAATGCTATGGTGACACGGCTGTGAGGTATGGAAAAAGTGGGGTTTCAGAAGGGCTTGATTTGGATGTAGAGGAGTCTTATGTGAGACATGGGATGGAGGAAATGGGGATTGGAAGTGTTTATGGACAGAGTACTAATGGGTTTAGTTCAGATTTCTTGAATTCTGCTGCTTCCAAGTTCTGGGATGAAAAGGGAAGTCTCTGGCAGGTATGTTTTTATGGATTATTTGGGTTTTGTTTTTTATAAATCTTGGTTTGTGTTTCTGTTATTAAATTGTGGACTAAATGGATATTGTGTTGATTTTTAATTTCATAACTTAGAAGGGAAGTGAAGTGCAAAACTTGGAAAAATTGAAGATTTTGATTTCTGCATCTGCCCTGCTATTGTTTTTGTATTCAGCTCAATTCAGAAGATTTTCAATTATGCGGGGCGGGGCTGGACGGGGGTTGTGTGTATATCCTAGTTTAAGTGAGACTGATTTTGAGTTATGGGATCTGCATAGGAATTTGCCTAAAAATTTCTTGATATTGTTCATCAGTCGCCAGATATATTTATGTTTGCAAGATTGTGCTGTCCTGGCATTGTTCTCGGGTTTTCATCGAGTTTTGAAGGGAAGATTGAAATTTTTTGATGATATGATGCTTGGATTTCAAACAAGAGGGAGTTTTTTCACCGAAAATTCAAATTGAAAAGCTTTTAAATTTCAAGACTTTTTTCACCGAAAATTCAAATTGAAAAGCTTTTAAATTTCAAGACTGAATCCTAATTACTCCTATTTGTTTTTGAGTGCACTGAGCTATACCCCCTTCTGTCTGATTCTCTGTCCTTATTCACTTCTCAATGAAGACATATTTTATATCTCCATTGCTTTGACAGTTTTGTTCTGTTTTATTCATAAAACATTGCTCAATTTTAACTTTTAATATTGTCTATTTCTTTGATGGCCATTTATGTTTTTGCATCTTTCGAATCCAATTATAGCCCCAGTGCTGTGGGGTTTAACATCATATCTTCTATTCATAAAGCTCCCGTGAAGGAAAATTCTACGAGAACATGATGATTTTCACTACCTTGTCCTCCCATTATTTTGCCTCACGACAACTTCCTTGCCGGATTTCTTCGATATGGTATTATGTAAATGAATAGTTTTGTCTGATAGCTGTCCTAAGCTTGGGTAAGAGAGGGGTGTCCTAAATTGACAGTCAGCATAAAACTTTGTCGAATCTTATAATAAATCATAATGAACATTTTGTTGGGGCATCCCTTATTAGCGACTCGATGTTGCTTTAGACCTTTTTCATAGATTTAACAATGAAGAAAATGAAGTGGCAGAGAAGAATTGACCCATAGTTATCCGGAACAAGGGTTAATTTGTTATGTTTTTTGTGAGGTGACGAGTTGTTATGTGGCGGTAGGCTGTCTTAAATCAACAGCTATTGATTCCAATGTATACTCGTATACAGTTTTCAGCTTTAACCTGGGTGTTATTTTCTATTTCCTTCTTGTTATGTTTTCTTTTTTATGTCCATTTTATGTTGTATTTGTACTTTTTCCTTATAGTGATTAATCAGTCATCTTGGTGTTTGGCTTTATGTGAAAAAATCTGTATGATTGCCCTATGCTAATGGAATCTTGATGGGACCTGGCCTTTGCAAAAGCATGGTTAATGAATAGTGTATATATTTTGGAACTTAATAAGTACTTTTGGAATAAGTCTGGCTTTCTTCTTGAGAAAGATGGTGCTTGCAGTTAAGTATCATTTTGATTATTATTGATCCCTAATTGGGGTTAGGACTTTAATCCCTAACATTTTTCATGAATTAAACATCTATGCAGGATGTGCAGTATGAATCTGTTGAATCACTTTACCATTTGAAGCATTTTGTTGCAAGGTAAAGTGTCACTGTCTATTTACAAATGTTTCAAGGCCGTTTGGATGATAAAGCCACAGTATCTAATACAAAGATTACGATAATTTCTTGTTCAGAAGGGAGTCCCCATGGAAGGTAGACGGTGAATCAACCGGAGTTTCTCCTAAACTAAAATTGCTTGAGCAAGAACTACAGAATCTGGAAAGTATTGGTAAGACGGATCTATCGAAAGTGCCATCTCTAATGCGAAAGCAGGCAAAGAGATATCAAGCATTGGCAGGAAAAATTGATGACCTCTGCAGAAGAATGGTAATGAATGAATCTATCTTCATTTGCTTGAGTTTATTGTTTTCGAAAATGTATTGATCTCATAAGGCATCCCCTTCGCAGCAAGCCAGTGATCCTTGTGAACCCAACCTCAGTACAGAGTTTCGAACTCAAAGGCAGACAGAATTTTTACTTGAAGCATTTCGACTACAACAGCGCGCTTCTGAGACTAATCAGAAGCTGATGACATTACAAACTGAGACGGTGAAGACTTATCGTGGGGACGAGCTTGAAGGACAGGCAAAAGCTGCCACAAGACGATCTCTGGAGTCAATCAGAAACAACTTCAAAGAAATCCAGAGAAATTTGGAGATATGGCTGGCTAGAATTATTGGAGATCTCGAAGGAATTCTGTCCAGAGATGGCGCTTCTCGTGCACGGGAATATTATTTCTCTAGGTATCCCTTTGTTCAATAACAATGTCCTAAATATCTGCTGAAATCTTAATCCAGAAAATATATAGTTCCACTTATGGTAATTTCTGATTCATGTGAATAAAGTTACATATAGCTTTTTCTGAAAATGTGACGAAACTAACTCGACTGATGATTGGACCACTTCAATTTGATGAGCTTGGAAGCCTGTAATGGGGTTCATAAGAAACACAGAAAGATCAAAGATGTTGACTAGTATTAAAATTGGGAGATTTTTAAGATGAAAAGAAACTTATGGCATGTCTGCTTGGAAGGATTGGACAGTACTACACAAGATGTTCAAATCTTGTTCATTAACTTTCTAGTTGTGTTCAACATTGTGTATCGAACATGCAATTTATCGCATAACTGTCAGCTGATAAAGGGACCATGGTATCCAAATTCTACAATCATGGTTTTCTGGAAATCTGCATTGGAGGCTTTCAATGGCTTCCATGTTCTTATGTAAATGAAGATTGGTGGTCCTGAGCTAGAAAGTAACTGCTCCATCCAACTGTTAGTAGATGAGAACTATTTATTTATTTTGGGGGACCAGAAAAGAACATTTCCTTGTTAATTCAGGAATAGAAAGGGCTTAAGCCACCAGATCCTAACAGAACTGGAGGGGTAGATGGAAATTGGGCAGTTTTCCTAGGAAAAAGAAACAGAAAAGGAAGAGTAAAAATTGAGTCTTGTTAGCCCTAAAAACTGAGATTAGTTATGATGCGGAAAATTACGGTTGGGCTCCCCAATGATATATCGTTTCAATTTTTGAGCACTTGTCTTTAATAAAAATGAAAAAGCGAGAAATTAAAGAATTAGCCTTTTTTTCCCCTACCTCCAAAAGTTGTTGAGAAAGTGTGAATTAAAGTTCTACATTGGTTGGACGTAGAGTAAATAATGATGAATGAATGATTCACTTAATAGGTCAACATTTTAGGATGGAATACCAATTTCCTACCCAAGCTGCGGGTGGGTTGGGGGGTGAGGGAAGGGGAGGAGCAGTGTGGGGGTAGGGAGGGAGCGGTAGGGAATAGACAGGGCTAGGTTGGGGCTGGGAGTGTGCTGTAGAGGGGTGGCTGGGGTGGGGCCTCGCAACAAGCATGGATTTACTTTTTTTTTTGATAACCGTGGATGTCCGGACGAATTTGTGCACATTTCAATTAATCCCACGAGTTCTAAGGTTTATTGCTGGGTACTCACTTCAGTGGTCCTGAGGGGACTCGAACTGGTAACCATTGAGGAGCAAATCCAAGACCTGATCAATTGAACAACCTCTCAAAATTACAAGCAGTGATTTACTTTAGCTTCAAAATACTAAATGTAAGACAATCACTTGACTTCTTAATAATCAAATGAACGAGTTTTCTGTGCATTGAGAACCCACATGGAATCGGAGAACCAACGTACTAGTTTTGCATGGATTGGGAATCCCTTTTGCCATTAAAGAATTATTCATTCTCCGATCTGTTTATAGGCAGGAATGTTGCATACCCTATTTGCACGCTGCGTGGTTCACATCAAGAGATTCTTTTAAATAATTTCTTTCAAACTTTAGTATTGGGTGCTGTCTCTCGAATCATTTAAAGAACTAATATGGATGGTTCTTACTCAATTTGGTTAAAGTGGAAAAGTTTCTTGATTAAGAAATGTTTTGCGTCGTCAAGCCAATAGGCCGTCTCTCGGGCCTTTCTTAATTCTACTTTGGTATCATAGGCATATCGAACCACCAATCCATCCCAAACTTGGTAGTTAAACTTGACTGATGCACTATATTGCGATAGACAACTTTCTTCTAAATATGCTGAATTTGATGTCACACAACCAAGGAGCGAGCTCATTCTATCCTACTCGATATCAATGATGTCAAATACACAGAATGTACTGACAAACTCAATCAATTCATCAAGAAGACTAAAACAGCATATTTCATTGAAAGATGGGTTCAAAATGCTTAATTATTGAATCCAAGCATAAATAAGTCAGGAAAGAGCAGAAGCTATCCATTTCATATTCCAGTAATACATGGATGAGCACTTAGTTAAGCTGCTGCTTCCTTCAACTGCTTCACCTTAGTGATGTAATCACTCATTGCTTCCTCCAGTGATTTTCCTGCAATATAATGGTAAAATTATGGCAAGCCTCCAAATTAATCTTACGATAAACGAATCAACTGAAGAGTTTCTAATCCCAATCGAATACCTTCAACAGCCTTCCACGCATCCCACTTTGCCCTGTCCCTCATGTTAAACATACCAGGGCGGCCTGCAAGATTTGCATCAATATAAGGAGCAATATTCCGAGTTAAACTTCATTTGGTACCAAAGGGTTTAAGAAACTACTAACTTGTGTTGACATTTCCAACTGTGGCTCGCTTGTAAAGTCCATAAAGGACAAGCTTGTCTTCGTTGGAAGTACTATCTGGTAAGGTCTTAGCTTTCTCAGCATGCTCTTCAAATTCCTCCTAAAGCCACAAGAAAAGTCACAACTTCAATTTGATCAAACAGATGAAGTTTTGCTAAAGCATATTTGTACTATGATTTCAGGATATTCTAGAGTAACAAAAGGGCATAACCTAGAAAATATAAGAATTGTATCCAGTGACCTCCAAAACAATTCAAAGAATTATTCAAATAAGAACAAGAATTTAATAGTTCGATCATGACATCTCCTTTTAATGAAACCCAAAATGAACATACATTAATTAGATGAGAACAAGATTTAATAATTCAATCCTCTCATCTCTTCTCAAAGAAATTAGCCCCCTGTCGATTAATAATGGCAGTGATTAAGAAAAAAGCAGGCAAATTCATAAAAATGCAAGAAAAATACGTCTAAATGTCATTACAATTTACAGGTTCCAGGTGGAAGCTCAGAGCAGTAAAATGGTTTGTTTAAATTGGTGCTCTGGTCGACTTAATTCAGTAGAAATGTTTCCAAAAATCATCCATTTTACAGAAAACTATTAATGTTTTCATTTAGATGTAAATAAATAACAGCATTATAGCACGAGTATCACTAAGATTGTAGTATACACACCGTGCTGGTTTTCTACTGTTCTTCAAAATCGAACACACAATCAGCTAATTCCGGATATATTAGTAAGGAATGATAGTAAAGTAGGTTAGTATGCAGGATCAGAAATCCACCATGAGGTTCGATTTCAAGGAACAGTATAAAAAGTCCTCAACAGACAGATTGAATGAACTTTTGCCCAGAAGTTTCAACGAATGACAACAATGAAAAACAAATCAAAATTGAGTGAAGTGCCTAACGACATTTAAGACAAAACGCTTGATTCATCATTACTCAATCACACAAAATAATGTATCGGATCCATAGCCTCGCGAGTGTGTGTGAAATCACGTGCATAAACACACGCAAACGGATCAAAAAAGACAATTTGTACATGATTTCAAAAAACACTGATAAAAAACTGTAAACAGATCTATGGAAAAATAGGAATCCATAAAAATCTTCATCCAAATACAGATCAATTTAACAATCCATGACAAAATTCACCCAGATCTAATAAAATCAGAATTGGAAATTCATCGCATTGATTGAATTAACAATAAAAATACGATTAAACAAAAATCACTGCGAGTGAAGAGAGATCATATACCTTCAAACCCATTTTTGGTTTAGTCTCCTTTTGATGTGCCGTGCTCAAGTCTGTTTGCGTGTTTATATATTGTTGGGGGCGGATTTTTCGAAGTGTAGAGTAGAGATTGCAGAAAAATAAAGAATCGACGGTTGTTACTACGTTTAGAAAAGGATATTCGCTTTAGATAATATACAGGTTGAGTGTAGATGAAGCTTGGTACAACCACGTGGGCATGGATCCAGTTGGGTCGGGTTCAGATCCAGCCAAACAACTGAAATGATAGTTTGGGTCGAATGAAATTGCAACCCAAAATTGAACATCCAGGTCAATCTAGCTATGTCAACCAGTCGAGCCCAAGCCCAAAAAAAAATTCAGGCTAGAGCCTCGAGCCGAGCAAAGCTCGGCCAAAAAAAATGAGGCTTGGCCCGAGCCTTAGTGGGCCGAGCCCCGATCGGGCCATTTGGATTTTTTTTAATGTCAAATCTACATTTTTACTTAAAAAATTTAGAGCTTGTTTGTGAGAGATTTTTGGGAGAAAAATTGATTTTGAATAGTGATATGATGGGAAATGTGTGGTTGAAAAAGAAGAAAAAATTATTGATGTGATGGAAAATATTATTTTATTGAAGAATCTGTGGTTGAAAATGAGAATTGAATTGAATTTTGAATAGTGATATGATGAGAAATGTGTGGTTGAAAAAGAAGAAATAATTATTGATGTGATGAAAAATATTATTTTATTGAAAAATGTATGATTGAAAATGAGAATTGATTTACAGAAAAATCAAAATCCCTCACAAACAGGGCCTTAAACTTTGTACGGTTTATACGTACTATAAAATAAATAAAAAAGCTCGGGCTTGACTCAAGTCTTTTTGGTCCCGAGCCGAGCAAAGCTCGACAAAAAAAATGAGGTTCGGCCCGAGGCTTGGCTCGGTGTAACCGAGCCCGAGTTGACGAGTTTTTTTGTCATCCCTAGGTCAATCGGTTTGATTTATCGAGTTCAACAGGTTTTTTTCCCTAGAAAATCAATTTTTTTTCCTTTTTTAATAAGAACACTCAAATTGTCAACCTCCCTTCAAATCGACCCAAAATGATTCGACTTTGACAATTTGATATGTTAGATGGATAATTTGTCCCAATCTTGCTACAGGCATGCTAGTTTCCCGCAAGTAGCCGCCTTTATTTTTATTTTTTTTTAAGAAAAAAGATTTGTCACGGGGCCGACACTCAAAAATGGGGCTCTGCTCGAGCCTCAATTCGATTCTATCGAGTCACGAGTCGGGCCAACTAGGCTTTTTTCGGACTTAGTCATGGGCCACCCAAGTTGACGAGCCAAACTAACGCCTCTAATCTTACTTGATAGAAAGCCACACGACATTCTGTCATTTGCCAAT